TACTTGTGTTAGTATACTTTACTTGTGTTTGTATACTTTACTTGTGTTCCCATGTGTATAATTTGCTGTTGACTTTTAAAATAATTATGAAGCTTTATGCTACTGACTTTAACAATGTTATCATCAACTGTGGTAGAGCCACTGTGTTTGTTTTGTCTTGGTGATTTAGTAGCAAATACGCATGTTCTTACACGAGTGCTGAATGTACGAATGTCGTATAGAAATCTAAATGAATAGTTTTACAACAGAATTTGGCAATTCCGTTTTTTTAGATTTTGAGAAAGAATAAAGATGTTCATGTCCTGGATGGACTTGAGCTGCCCCTGGTTTGTGGAGAAAAGATGATGCAAGGCTTGGGTAATTCTGTGGGCGTCACATTCAACGAGAAGTCGGCTCCAACGAGGCAATCCTTAGTCCCTGATTTTTTTCCTCTATTTCTCTTTGTAAATGTACGTCGGCTCCAACGAGGTTGCAAACAGACCGAAGTCGCTTTCACCGAGGTCGCGATAACGAAATAAAGGCAATTAGCGGCCCCAAAAGCGAAGAATTTTTCTCCTTTCTCTCCATCTCACGCGAAGCACAAGGCCCATCCTCCAATCCTAACACAGTGTATTGCTAGATCTTGTGTGCCTCCTAACATGGGCCCCAAAGCCAAGAGTATGGGCGAGGTTAGCCTACGGTGGGGACGGGAGGGGGTGGGTGGGAACGCCATGCGGGCTGTGTGAAACTTGAACTCTGGATGGGTAGGTCTAGATCGAGACCTTCATTTTTTTTTCAATTTTCTGTTCTTCTCCTGATCAGAAAATCCAAGGTCCCGCCTTTACTTTATGTAGATCTAGGCCTAGGTGTGAGAGGGGAGGTTTCCACACGAGAAGTGTTCCGGAAAAAAATAAATGTTAAAATGCAGAAAAGACGGTGAGAACACAGCTCAAACACGCGCGCACTAATGCTGTTTGAGATTTTCGTCATCAGGGGGAACAACTGTTGTAATTACTGGTATTGGTACATCGTGTAATGTACGGTAACAACTTGTCTCCTTTCTTTACTTTAGCCTTAGTCACGTTCAGCGAGAGGTCAGATCCAACGAGGACAACAAGCCGGTCCCGGCAACCTTGTTGAATGCGACACCCACTGTAGTTATTGTTGGATGGAATCAGCGTTGAATTCTCTTCCGTTAAATTGATGAGAACAACAAACATTTTTGACCAAACCCTGCCTGTCTACATTTGTCGGCAAACTGTCCAAATATTCCGTGTGATCTGATTGGACTGACATTTGTGTCTTGTGACCTATGGAGGGCAGGTGGGAGAGTTTGTCGTATCTCACGACTTTGTTCTTTGTTGAGGCTTGCACCTGTTGGAACAGTCTCTCTGTTCTGGGCTTGCCCAATCACCTACGTTGTCCGTCAAAACAACGAGGATTACTCTTAGGAAATAAAAGTTCTACTTCAAGAAAGTCTTTGTGTGTGTGTGTTGGTGTGTGTTGTAGGAGATATGTGTGTGTGTGTGTGTGTGTTGGT